ACATAAAGTGTTCAGTTCAACAAGTGATCTTTAAATTATTGTTAAGTATTCATAAGGAAAAAAATATACACAGGCTGCAAGGAAACTAGCCAGGAAATTCTAGAAAACATCCAATTATAAATCCTTCATACAACATTTTTCTTGTAAGTACTAAGCTTTAAAAATTACAGAACAGGAACACCCCTGCAGAATGGGAAAGTTAATGTCCCTTGAATTGTACACAATTAGTAATCTTTCAGAGTGAGACATGGAAGAATGGATGCAGTGGACAAATTCCCCAGGAATTTAAATTAAGACAGTCTCTTTAGAAAGTCAAGCAATAGATGTTGAGTATTGTATGGAAAACATATCTTTGATTAGGTCTGAATCTTTGAATTTCATTGGATTTTTAAAACGAAATTCTAACAGTATGTAATGATCCCTTCCACTTATGAAGTCATAGGACTATTTTAAGGGATAACCTATTTGTCATTTATTACTGAATTGTGGTATAGTTTATGCTGTTACCTAATTTACAACCTTGTCTGACATTACACCCTCTTTGTTACCTAATTTACAACCTTGTCTGACATTTCTTATGTGTACATATTGTCATTCAATTATAACTTCGAAGACTGGCAATCTTTGACTGTCTGTAGCTCCCGAAACATACTAGATCATGAGCACTTATGAACAGATTAGCTGTATGGCTTTTTGACTGATATGAAGAAAGAGTGAGTGGATGTCAGGGTTAAGAAAATAATCCCAGTCTTCTAACTATAATCATTTGAGAAATAATCAGTCTACACTTTAATAAAATATCCATAGGCACCAAACAGCACAATGCCATTTGGAGCAGGTTCTCTACAAGCATTTGTTCAGCTTAAATAGAGTAATAATCTAGTGCCTCTTTCCAGGAAAATACAAACTGACCAGTTGAAAGATGTAAGGTGAGGTACCGGAATAGCAAAAAGTGAAATGGATTTAACTATGTTAAAATTCAACTCAACTAACTCAGCTCTTTACAAACAAAAATACTTAATAGGTCCACGGTGAATAAGCAAATCAATGAATTTAAACTATATGTTTGGATTTGCTTGTTTGCTTCATCTGAAACAGTCATAATAAAAATTTTCAGAGCTTAATTTCTTATAGCTACAGAGTCAGGAACAGTCTCAGAATGATACTCAGCTTTAACATGTCTTTAATGGGATGCTTAAGTAATCATGGCAATTTAATTAAAAGGGCAGTCATCTTTTGAAACAGCTATTGTTCCCTAGAGAGTGTTACTTAATGTTACATTTCTGCAGTTACCTAATGTTTCCACTCACTGAGGTTTGTTTACATTTTAAAGAAATTATACTAGTCTTCAACTTACCTCTAGATTTCATTCCAAAAGTTGTCTCAAAATACGTAATCACTCCTTTCCTTCCTCTCCAAGCATAGTGTTGTTTTTCACAGTTGTGTAATTCACCTTTTCTATTGCTGATTTAAATATTCTCTCAGTGACCTCTTTGCCCCACAACACTTCAACTGCCTAACCTATCAGCCCCTGGCAAAATTATTACAATTCCTTTCTCCTTAGCTCTAGATTCACTTTTTCAGTCCGACATGCCATGCGTACTTTGAAGACAACCCGCCTCCAATCAAAATCATTATTTTCTCCTCCTTATCCTCTTGAATTTCCCTCTTGTTTAATGATATCGTCACATAATTGATCACAAAGACCAGATCCTTGAAGTCATACTTAGTGGTTTCTCATTGCTTCGATACTTACATCAAGTCAGTACAAAACCCCATTGATTCTAATTCAGAGATTCCACCTTAGCTCCAGCTGCTCCTCCCCAGCACTAGTAGCCCTGCCCTAGTTATCATTTCCCGCTGCCTATTCCAATACCTCCTAGCTGGGCTCATTGTCTCCTGTTCCTGCCACTTCAGCCTGCCCTCTGTGTCAGTGGTCCTCATCCGTCCTCCTTCCGTGGAGTGCAATGCTCAAATGTGAGACATATTCCTATGGACCACTCAAAGATCGAAGAAATAGAAACATTTAGGGAGGAAGTTTAGTATTTTAATTATTCATAGTCTTCCACAGACCTTGCAGAGCCACTTGCAATCTGACCCTTGTCTCCATCTCCTCTTTGCAGCCTGTTTCTCCTGCTCTCATTCATTGACTCTCCTGGCCCTTTCCTGCCCTTTCCCATGCTGTCATCCTTGTGACCTCAACTATATTGTACCAGTTTAGGGTGGCTTTCCCTGATCACTTCTCAATCTAAATTAAATTCTTTTGCTCTTCCACACCGGGTTCATTATAATTTATAATTATGTATTATTTTTTCTTCTTCTTCTTCTTCTTCTTCTTCTTCTTCTTCTTCTTCTTCTTCTTCTTCTTCTTCTTCCTCCTCCTCCTCCTCCTCCTCCTCCTCCTCCTCCTCCTCCTTCTTCCTCCTCTTCTTCCTCCTCCTCTTCCTCCTCTTTCTTCCTCCTCTCCTTCCTCTTCTTCCTCTTCCTCCTCCCACTTCCTCCTCCTCTTCTTCCTTCTTCCACTTTCTCCTCCTCCTCTTTCTCCCCTTCCTCCTCCTTATTCTTCCTCTTTCTCTTTCTCCTCCTCCTCCTCCTCTTCCTCTTCCTTCTCCTCTCTCTTTTTCTCTTCTTCTCCTTTCTTTTTATTTTGCATTAAGCCTGATTTACCCACAATATTTCTGAACTCTGTGAACTTAGAGTAATTCTTTTATTCACCATTGTGTTGACAGTATCTGCACAGTGTCTAGCAGATGCTGGGCACTCAAGAAATATTTATTGAAGGAATGAATCAATTATCACAACTAGTAGTGGTGTATAAGTAGACTGGCTAACTGTGGGTAGTGACAAAGCCCAATCTGTATATTATGGGCAATTTCCCACCTCTGGAATGTATATTATAAGGTTACTAAGAGTCCTGCTATTATAGGCACAATTTTGAATGTTATCTAATTTATATAAGAAAAATAGTTTTATCTATTAGCACTAGTCATACATCTGCCATACTCATTAGGTCGGATCACAGCACACTGGAAATCTATCATCTGGCTACCAGACATTTCTTCTTTGGAAAGGCTACCTAAAGCATAAAGTTCAGCATGTACTTCTCCTGCTGATGAACTTAATAGATTCCCATTGTTTTCAGAATAAAGTCCAAATTATTTGATGTCTTAATTTCTTTGGACTTCCATAATAAATTATTATAGGAGACCAGTGCGGCATTGGTGGCATGTGCCTATAATCCCAGTTACTCTGGAGGTTGAGATGGTCGGATCACTGGAGCCTGGGGCTTTGAGGCTACAGTGAGCTATGATCTGGCCACTGTGCTCCAGCCTAGGTGACAGAGTGAGACCCTCATATCTAAAAAAATAAAAATAAAAATGATATATTGGATGGTTTACAGTTCTGGAGGCTGAAGGTCTGAGATCAAGGTGCCAGCCTGGTCAGATCTGATGAGGGGCCTCTTCCTGGTTCAGTCTTTTGGCTGTATTCTCACATGTCAGATGGTGCAAGGACTCTATCTGGGGTCTTTTCTGTAAGAGCATTATCCCATTCATAAGGACTCCGTTCTTATGAGCTAATCACCTCCCAAAAGTTTCATCTCTGAATACTTTCACACTGGGGATTAAGTTTTAATATAATGAACATTCAGCCAGCCTACAGAACTTGGCATGTCTCAGAAAGCCATTCTCAAGCTGGACCTTGTCATTGTTTCCAACTTCAAACCCAGCCAGTCTCTACCAGAGGCCATCATCATGCTGGGTGTTTACATACTTTGGCCTCCACTAGGCATGGTCCTCGTTTGTCCCCATATGGTTGCATGTTTGCTCTTTAAAATTCAGTGCTCTCAAGCACTTTAGTTATTCCTTCTTCTGTGGTCTGATTGTATTGGATATCCTATTAATTCTATACTTTATTTTCTATTCCATGATAACTTATTGGAATGCCTACTTCCCAGACTAGATTGTAACTCCTGGATTAGACTGTGCACTCCCAATGTTGAGCCCAGTGCATAGAGTATAATAGCTTCCAGTGACAGTTGGATGACTGAATGCATTGTCAATTGATTGGATGTAAAAATGCCTTTGCCTACTGAAGCAATGCTATACATGTTGATTTAATTCTCAGCTGACTAAAAAAAACCCTGTTTATACCATAATGCAATTGAAACCTATTGCTAATATTGCTTTCTCATCTAGTTTCAGAATGTTCTCTCTCTCCCTTTCGCTGCAGTTGGGGGAACCTCTTTCTTCTCCTCCTACCACAGGCTAGAGGCAGGGATCTTTTTTATACTTTTCTCTTTTGTCCCTCATCACCTAAGCAGGAAAGGCCAAAAGAAGGATTCTCTGTTTTTTTTTTTTTTGCTGTGAAAATGAGATGGTATTTCTGCCATTTTGATTTTCTTGGTGGAGATGCATGTCAATTGAGAGTTCACATCTTTGGTGTTTGCCTGTGTCTTATACAGTCTTGAAGACCACTTGCCTCATAAGAAATCATTATGCTGATGCATGAGGATCTTGCTGCAGTTCTATTAGCTGTACAATGAGATTAACGTTAAAAGAGATCCACTAGTAAATAAAAGTAGCAAAAGGACCTTGCTGCTTAATAAGCGTCTCAACTATAAGACATATTCATATTTTATTAATTCTATCACTTGTCCATTAGCTTATGTTGCACACATCAAAACCACACTTCTTTCCACGTTTTGACTCTCTTCACACATCTTATATACCTTGGTTTTCTTAGATATATTCACAAAAATAATGTTTAAATTTTGGGAAAGAAACCCATGTCTGATTAGTAATTGATGTCATTTATTTGGTGAATATATTATAATGCAAATACACCCAATTGCTCTTAATAGGTGAGAGTGTCACATATTTTGAGAAATAATGTGCTGAATTATGTGCCTTTTATAAAGTAGCTATTTGAGGTTTGCTAATTAAATAAATGCTCTTCCTGAATCACACCCCTTTTTTTTTTTTGTTTTTGTTTTTAAATAGGTGGTGTTTGCATTGCTCAGTCACAGAAAATCCCACGTGAACCAAGACCTGGAGAATTTGAAAAAATTATCAAACGCCTGCTAGAAACACCTAATGCTCGAGCAGTGATTATGTTTGCCAATGAGGATGACATCAGGTGCTGATTACTTTTCTTCTGTATGTAGGGTCAGATTTGTGTCCCATGTCCTCTTTCTAACATATTTCATGTTCAACATAAAAGCTTGTAATTCCCTTGCAATAACAGACTGCCTTTTGCTGCCTTCTAGTTTGTAAATCTGAAATACCTACAGAGTAAAACTAGAGGACTAAATGAGATAAGACAAACAAGGGTGATAGATGGAATGATGTGAATGAGGTTGAGGATAAGGCTAGTTAACATGTATTGGAGTTAGTCTCTGCTATATTTTCTTTAGGAGATGATAAGACTCAGGCAATTAGAATGATCATCTTAATTGTTAAACAGTGACCTACTGAGTGTATACAACTTTCTGAAGCTGGTCTTGCAATATTCATAATTATGGTATTTCTTAAATACATGTGATATGCATTGTTTATTTTTATTCCTATAGGAGGATATTGGAAGCAGCAAAAAAACTAAACCAAAGTGGACATTTTCTGTGGATTGGCTCAGATAGTTGGGGATCCAAAATTGCACCTGTCTATCAGCAAGAGGAGATTGCAGAAGGGGCTGTGACAATTTTGCCCAAACGAGCATCAATTGATGGTACGAATGCACCATAGAGAATTTGTTTTATTTTAGTAAGATCTAAACTGAAAGGCAAAACTGGAGTATCATAATATGAGAAAATGCATTTATTACTTGATATAATTTTTCGCTTTGATGGCAGAATTGTCAAAACCAGTATTTAACCCAGCGTGTGTGTGTGTGTGTGTGTGTGTGTGTGTGTGTGTGCGCGCGTGCATATATGGATAAGAAGCTTTATGGGCTACTGGCTTTCTGTTATTTGTAATTTTTTTTCTTTTTTCATGCAGTGATTACAACGTAATGTCCATTCGAAAGTTCTGACAATATTTACTTTTGAAAGAATATTAAAAGCATATATTTCTCCTTTAAAATAGGATTTGATAAATATTTTAGATATATATATATTCTAAAAAATCAGTGCTATAAATGGTGATTTAATTCTCAGCTGACTCAAAAAGATCCTGTTTATATTATAATACAGTTGAAATCTATTGCTAGTATTGCTTTCTCATCATATTTTATTATATATAAATCTCATCACATTATGTATATATATATATATATATATATAGAGAGAGAGAGAGAGAGAGAGAGAGAGAGAGAGAGTGTGTGTGTGTGTTTGTATGTATTTAGGAAAGAGTACCTGCTAGAGATTTTTTTAAGAAAAAAGCCATAATCAGTTATTTTCTAGTAATTGCACTTTGAGTTTGCATATTTTCTTGGGCATTTGTGGTGGTTATAGCATTGTCGGAGGGAAAATGCTTGATTTATAGAAAATGAGTATCTGATGCTGGTCTTATCCTATAGAAAAACAAATGCAACAGGAAAGACTTGGAGCATCCTGAAAGGCAGTCTGTCTTCTAAATAGCTTTTCCAATTGATTTGACAGTAGCTGAAATTCCCACTTTTAACATTATCCTTTGGAGTAAGCATTATTTCCAGGGGGTCTTCCTTCAGTAAAATGGTTACCTGAGAAAACTGACACTTCGGTTCGCTTACCCATGACTCCATAATATTATATTAACACAATTGCTTTATTGAATTACCTGAAAACAGAACATATAGGAGAGAGAAATTTTGAAGTATGTGGAAACACAGGAATGTCTGGAACATTGATCTGAGCTAGGAAACAGAGAAAAGAATTAGAGAAGTTTAAGTCAGGTTCTGAGTATTCAGGATTCAGCATAAAGTCACTGTTTGCTTCCTGCAGGAGAAGTAGAGTAGGAGAGGATGTAAAAAGGACACTGATGGCTGGTCACGGTGGCTCATGCCTGTAATCCCAGCACTTTGGGAGGCCAAGGCAGGTGGATCACCTGAGGTCAGGAGTTTGAGACCAGCCTGGCCAACATGGTGAAAGCTCGTCTTTACTAAAAAATACAAAAAATAGCCGGGCGTGGTGATGGGCAGCTGTAATCCCAGCTACTCAGGAGGCTGAGCCAAGAGAATCGCTTGAATTGGGGAGGTGGAGACTGCGATGAGCCAAGATTGCGCCGTTGCACCTTAGCCTGCATGACAGAGTGAGACTACGTCTCAAAAAAAAAAAAAAAGACACTGAAACCAGGCTTTCCTGTTGCACTCATTCATAGAACCAGGTACTTGAGTAGTGGTGGTGGTGCGGGGGTATTGTCAATTGATCCTCCTTGGCTTTTGCCATTAGAAAAGCCTGATTTACAGGCCACTGGCTTTCTCTCATTGGTTATGCAGTTTTTTTCTTTTCATGCAGTGATCACAACATAACCTTCATTCAGAAGTTCCGACAGTGTTGAATTGTTGGAAGAATATTAAAATCATACCTTTCTCCTTTAAAATAGGATTTGATCGATACTTTAGAAGCCGAACTCTTGCCAATAATCGAAGAAATGTGTGGTTTGCAGAATTTTGGGAGGAGAATTTTGGCTGCAAGTTAGGATCACATGGGAAAAGGAACAGTCATATAAAGAAGTGCACAGGTAACCATTCAGATATTTTCTGTGGTGCATTTGTTTTCATCATGACCTGATAAATGACATTTTTCTACATGGATAATGATGAATGTATTTTCTATTTTGTCGTGTCTCTTGTTATAGTGTCTCAGCAGGGCTGAGCATATGCTAATCGTTCAACAAACTTAAATTTGTTTATTGGTTCTTTCAGTCAATCAGCAAGTATTTATTGAACATATACCATGTATACAGCACTGGGGTATCTGGAAAACATTTATTGTTTACTTTGGAAAATGTACTTTATTAGGTTTGATGGAATACAGACAAATAAACAAGACATAGTATTGCTCTCCGGGAGTGCAAAATGTAATATGTAACATAATAAGTTGTTATAAGACAGTAGTTTTCAACTGTTTTAATCCCTGTCCTCTGTAATACTATTATTTTCTTAAATCCTGCATAGCAGCTATCCCAGAACGTGTGATTTTTTGATGCTTCACTTGCCATAGCTTATGCTTAAAAATAATGATATTGAATGTGCATTTTTGAATATATGAATAAAACTGTATTTATCTTCAGATAATATGATTGTACACATAGGGAAAAAATACACATAATTTTTTTTTTTTTTTTTTTGAGATGGAGTTTTGTTCTTTGGCCCAGGCTGGAGTGCAGTGGCACAATCTCGGCTCACTGCAACCTCTGCCTTCTGGTTTCAAGTGATTCTCCTGCCTCAGCCTCCTGAGTAGCTGGGATTACAGGGGCCTGCCACCATGCCTGGCTAATGTTTGTATTTTTAGTAGAGATGGGGTTTCACCATGTTGGCCAGGCTGGTCTTGAACTGCTGACCTCATGATACACTTGCCTTGGCCTCCTGAAGTGCTGGGATTACAGACATAAGCCATCGTGCTCAGCCCAGACTCACATAATTTTAACAGTTACTTAGAACTGAGTAGTAAATTTATCAAGGCTACAGATATGAAGTCAATATAAACATTCATTTTAATATGCATATTAGAAACTAACACATGGAAAATGAAATTTAAAGAATACTGTTCATAGCAGGATCAAAAACATACAACATTAGGGTCGATTTTTAACAAAAATGCACACATCCTTTACACTGAAAACTATACAACTTGAATGTGTGTTTCAGAAATGATTCATTCCTTCCTGTACCCCACCAACCCCAGACTTTGATATGTCCTCCTTCACCCTCCTCCTCACTTTCTTTGTAAATAGCTGTTCAAATAAAAGACATACTATGCTAAAAGCTAGCACAGACATATAAACAGAGACAGAATAAGGAGGTAGAAATGGGGCCACATTGTGTGGGAATCTGATTTCAGGCTTCCTGTGTGCCAGGCATTTTTCCAGGAGCTGGGGTGAGTGAAGAAAGGCAATATTCATGCTTATGGGGCTTACATTTCAGTGTGCAGAGATGGACACTCCATAATAAACATAAAGAACAGATGCGTTCAGATGCTGAGCTGTGCTTAGAAGAAATGCAACAATTTAACTATGAAAGACTAACCTGGGCATTAGGAGGAGGAAGGCAATTAGATGGTGTGGTCTGAGTGTGCTTTGCTAGAGGAGATAACATTTGTGATAAGACCTGAGTGACAAGAAGTGGTCAGTTGTGTAAAGATATGACAGCAGTGTATGACAATATATAGCACCAGAATAAGGGTCTTTTGTTCAAAGTAAAGAAAAAAAAAGAAAAGTTCAGAGAGGTTGGATCAAGAATGAATATTGTGAGAGAGGAAGCTTGATGGCAGCGAGGCTATAGTGATAGACTGGAGCCAGGTCATGCACGGTCTTGAAATTCTTTCCAGAATTTCCAGAGTTGAGGAATTTGGGCTTTATTCTGCCAGTAGGACGCAATGACTTCAAGAGAGTTGCTCAGACACTTGGTTCAAGATTTGCCTGGTAGAAGTGTGAGGAGGATAGGGGTTCAGGGGAGAAAATGAAGACAGTTCAGTGAGGACTCATCCAGTATCCTGGGGACAAGAAGTCATGGTCTAAGAAAAGCTAGCTAGGGGCTGGGTGTGGTGGCTCACGCCTGTAATTCTAGAACCTTGGGAGGCCGAGACAGGTGGATTGTCTGAGCTCAGGAGCTCAAGACCAGCCTAGGCAACAAGGTGAAACCTTGTCTTTACTAGAAATACAAAAAAAAAAAAAAAAAAATTAGCTGGGCATGGGAGCATGCACCTGTAATCCCAGCCACTCAGGTTGCTGAGACAGGAGAATTGCTTGAACTCTCCTGGGAGGAGGAGGTTGCAGCGAGCGGAGATTGCACCACTGCACTCCAGCCTGGGTGACAGAGAGAAGCTACATCTAAAAAAACAAAAAAAAAGAAAGAAAGAAGAGCTAGCTAGGGATAGAACGCACAGGACAGACGCACTCTGGTACTCAGTGTTATATTTATAGTACAAGCTGAGTGGTTGATGCTGGGGCAAAGATCTTAAGTCATGGAGGATGCTGATGTTAAACCTCTATCAGGGAGGTCTAGGAAAATGGTGCTGTAATTAGTTAACAGAGGAAAAATGCGATAAAATGAACGGTCAGGTATTTGGAAATAAACTTGAATGTTGTTCTGAGATAGCCCCATGGAACTGGCCAGCAGGTGGCAGCATAACGTCTGGGACCCCACAGAGTTCACTAACATTTGAAATTAGGGAATCTTAGAGATTTTAAAGTTAAAGACAAGAGGAAAGATGCAATTGCCAAAGGGGACTGAGAAAATATGAGGAGTGATGACTGAGAATTCAAGGCCAGGAACCAGGAAAGGACACTGAGAACGCTGGGTTTGCGGGAAGGAGACGAACGTGGAGTTAAGGTTGTCTCAATCTCCAGGAGCAAGACAGGTGCGTGACGTTTCAGTGCTGCAGGGACCTGTGGCCGAGAGATAAGGCTGTGACAGGGTAACCAAATGGGAGGGGCTGAGAGAGAACAGAATAGAGGAAATGGAGGAAGGGATGCTGTGTCAAGAAGTTTTCAAAGTAGATATGGTGGGAGAGCTTAAGAAAGAATCGAGGAGATTTCTTGAAGATAGGGCATGTTTAAGCATGTTTTCAAAAAACATGTAAGGGATAACTAGTGAAAGAGATTAAATGCAGAGTAGGATCTTGATTGAAACTTTAAGGAGAGGCATCAAAGAGCAATGTTACCTTTAAATCATGTGATTTGACTGGCAGAAAAAGGTACATACAAACATATACATAATCAAAGAGGAAAGTTTTATGATTAAATGTTAAATGTCAGTATAGATTAGAGAAGTTCAGAAAATGTATGTAAGTTCACATTGTAAAATCCAAAGCTCTGTGGAGGAGGTGAGTGTTTGATGACAAGAAGGATTTGGGGAAGAACATTCCAGATGAAAGTGGGGGTCAGTGTGACAGAGGCATAGAGTAGGGGCGTGACATGGAGGTGCATGAACAGCTAAAAAGGTCCAGCTTCTTGGAAAGGGCGATACCTGTCAAGGGATAATGGAAAATAGAGAAGGGACAGTTTATAAAAGGGTTTGGAAGGGGAGTTTACACGCTTATGTGCTTTCTAGTGAGATATATTTTACACTGTGCTTAACTTTGAGTTATGAATGTTATTGTTTGATTCTCTATAAATTCATTTTCTGTTATTTAGACTGTATTTATGAAAATGTCCCCATTAATGAAATGGATGAACTCATACATGCATACACACTGTTAACCAGTCACATAACTTTTTAATAGGTTGCTTTCAGAATAACCAGTTTCTCTGAACTTATATTTTATGTCTTTCTTTTTTTTAAACTCAGAAGTGGGAGTTGAACAATGAGAACACATGGACACAGGGTGGAGAACATCGCACACTGGGAACTGTCAGGGCGTTGCAGGCAAGGGGAGGGAGAGCATTAGGCCAAATACCTAATGCATGCAGGGCTTAAAACCTAGATGGTGGGTTGATAGCTGCAGCAAAGCATGGCACATGTATACCTATGTAACAAACCTGCACGTTCTCCACGTGTATCGCAGAACTTCAAGTAAAATAAAAAACAAACATGCTCATATTTTCTAAGTTGAGTTGAGGTATGTAGCTGTTTCTTTAGCATCTGTATATGGTCAGATGGTATATGACTAGACTTTTATTTCAGGTGCAAATACTGAACTGGTTTGTGGCCGAATCCAGATTTTGTGGCATGTCTGTTTTCAATTCCTTTGATTTATTTGGGTGTTGCTAAAATTATAACAATGTGCCCAATTATAACTATTTCTAGTGCAATGAAAATGGTGTTTACTCCAAGTGCTAGGGCAAATGTACCTCTAGGGAACTGGGTCAGTAAACAGATTTTCAAGCAAATTCCATTGTGGGTGATACCAAAATAACTTGTCTCTGGGTAGGAAAGAAATAAGTAACACTAATTTAATTTTTTTGAAGCAACATATGACAGTTTCCAGATGGTAAGAGCAGATATTTGTGTCCCAAATTAAACCATTATACCCAGTTTTCATCTCTGTTTTTGGGGAGGAGGGAAGGTGATCTAGCATGTTAGTGGTTAAATGTACTTGAAAGGAAAAATCTACAGGATATTCATGAGTAGAGGTGTCCAGCATTTGTAAAGTGTTTTAAAAGGTGGCCTTAAACAGTTCAGATTTTAACTACCTGCAATTAGTCAAAAAGTTAAGGCACTCTGAAAGTGAGATGTCCATGAGGCCCTTCTTGTGCGTTCAGAACATCATCGGTAGGTTTATACGGGTTGAGTAACGTTTTACATTAGGTGACGGTAATCTGTGAGTATAATTATTTACTTCCATTGGGGGCAATATTGGCAATGTATTTACATGGATGAGAGGTTGCTTCTCAGCAGGGTGGGGTTTCTGTCTTATCAATTTTCCGGAGAGAGAATATCTTCAAGCTGTTAGGAGCATTCTCTTCGTGAAATTTACTCAGTTGAAACCCTTTTCTGAGGTGATTTCCCCCTCTAGAATCTCAGGAAAGCTTTCAAAAAGATGTGATATTACTGCTAACTTTTGATTTGCTGGCCAAAT